TATTTTTCACTCATTTTCTAAGGTCTGACCGTTATTTAAAAGGCTCAAAGTTAGGCCTGTAAGCTCTATTCTAAAAAATTTAAAAAAATTAAAATAAAATTAAGTATTATAAATTAATTAAAATATTTTAAAATTTAAAAACAAATCTTTATAATCTTTTGAAAATTAAACAACATACATTTAGAAGTTTAGTAAGAAAATTTAAATCTTTGTTACAAAAATAGTTCATTTTTTATAAATACACAAACATAATAATTATAAAAAAAATATTAGAAATTTTATATTGTACATTGATATTTATTTTAATAATACAATATTAAAAAAATAAACAACAAAAATCAATTAAAAATGAAATCAAAGAGTTTAAGTGAGCCTAAACTATTGATGATTACCCATGCTCATAATTAGAGTTGGAAAAAATGAGTGGGTTCGACCCTTATAGGCCCAGCTCATAAGGATTTAAGCTCTTAAACTCAATTTTCTATTTTTTATCCCTTTTCTGAAACTTGACTCTTATTTAAAAAGCTCAAGGCCGGGCTTGTAAGCCCTGTTTTAAAAAAAATTAAAATAAATTAGAATTTTACTAAGAAAATAAATTAAAAAAAATTAATTAAAATATTCCAAAATTCAAGAAAAAATAAAAATCCTTATAATCTTCTAAAAATTAAACAACAAATATTTAGAAGTTTACTAAGAAAATTTAAATCTTGGTTAAGAAAAACAGTTCATTTTTTATAAATACACAAACATAATAATTAAAAAAATATAAAATAATAAAAATTTTATATTGTACACTAATATTTATTAAATTATATTAAATTAATTTTAGAATAAATTAAAATTAATAATAATATAATGTATGTAGCATTAGGGCTTTAGGTGAGTAAGTCCTTCTTGGCTTCAAATGTGTACTCCACTAAAAAAAGTTAATAATAATATAATAGGATTTGAAAGCCTACTCGAGCCTAAGCTCGAGCCCTTTTTTACAAAGTTTATTAATGCCAAGCTTTTAAGTTTGGTTACTTCAAAAAAATTTAATTTTTAAAAACTTCAATCTTTATTTAAACAAGGCTTTTAAACTTGGTCTTATAGGCCCGATTTTTATTTTCATTTTTATTTATAATAAGAACACCCAATTTATAACAGGTGGCTTCCTATGTTGACACAGAAATAAGGGGTACTGTTTATTTTTGTTTTGATTGACGTGGCAAAAAAGCAAAAGGTAGAATGACAAATAAAAACTTTTAAAAAATATCAAAAACCTTTTATAGCCGAAGTATAAAAAATTTACTATTGAAATAACTGGATTTACAATTTAAAGGCTTTTTTTAATTTGTATTAATTTTTTTTATAAGGTCTTCAATTGTCATTCTTCTAAAGCAAAACTTTCTGAGAGAAAAGTTTGCATACATACAAGACACTGGTCTGAGGGGTAGTTTGATGATGTGATGAGAAGAATTCAAACCCTACGACATTCAAATACTTGGATTGCATCTATCATTTCATTGTACATAGAAATGGAATTGAAATAACTTAATATTGAAAATATTAAAGATGAGTATTAAAAAACTATCCATCAATTTTTTTTAATTGCAGTTACGGATTAACTAATCCTTTTTTAGAATTTGAAAATTTTAGGATCCTTAACAAAGGTTTTTAAATATCATTCTTCTAATAAAATATTGATGCACATAAACATGTAATGGATTTTCCAAGTGTATAGTTCATAAGATAGTAAGTGATAAATCAAGGTTGTTCCTACAGAGAATCAAGTTAATTGATAATTAAGTAATAAATTTTTTATTTTTATTTAAGTTTAGCAAAACAAAATTTGGATTTGATTTCGTGACTTAAGAAATTAAAATTATATGAATGCACTAAAATAAAAATTCTAACAATTACAAATAACCAAGGCAACTTAGGGTGATTAATCCATTCTTCAATTCATAGAACATGTAATTACCTAAATAAATTCACTTAATATTAATTTGTTAATATAAAATATTAATATAAATAATTATCTTTCGATTTCTAACACAAATACCCAAGAGGCAAAAGGCACAAGCTCACTTTAATGTGATTATATAGGTCTAATAGGTATATTCTTATCTTATTGGCAAATAAAAAAAAATTCTAATACCACATTACTCGATCTAATGATCTAATCTAGATTTTTCTCCTTTAAATCAAAACCTAAACCCCCAAATTCACACTCAATAATGGCGAAGAATTAAGTGGACAAATAAGCACAAGATTAAGTAAACAAAACTAACATTAAAATAAAATAAATGGTTCCAATATGTTCTAATCCAAAAATCAGTTTATAGCTACCATAGATCAAGAGAAAATCAGCCACATATAGCTCTAATGACATCAAATATCAACAAAATATACATCAAAATGAAGAGAAGGAAAAGAAATGCTTAACTGAAATAATCTTGAGCTAAACCCTTAATTTCCTACTAAATCCAAGCTTTTGCAACCCTCCTTTTGTTCTTTTTTTCTCTTTGGACATTTTGCAGCCGTTGGAAATCAAAAAAGGTTCAAAATAAGGTCTCTAAACCCTACAAGTTTGCTCAAGATCAAAATTATATATTTTACTAAAATTATGCTTTGCTTGCAGTGAAATGTATGAGTGGATTCCTAGAAAGTACTTCTTTAGAAAACTCTACCACTGTTCTTGAACCAGTTTGTCTTTCTTCAGCTTTTTCCTTTGATTGACAACCTCCTCTGTAAAAAGGCATTTTTCTCAGAAAATAAAAAATCTCATAGAGTATTCTATTATTCTTGAGAATGCTTGCCTCCCAGACTCAACTTCCTTTCCTTAATCTTTATAAACTCTATCATAGATTAAACTCTTTCACCCATGGTATTAGATCTTTGATTCACATAGACCATCCTCAACCAAAAGAGATAATTCATCTTTGTAGTCTAGATTAGTGTGGTATCTCTGCCACAGCTACTAGAATCTTGCTCAAACTTTAAAAATATCTTGACTTGCTTTAGATAGACTAATTGGGTGTTGATTTTAGGTAGAAGAAACTTGTCATTTTGACGAAAAGCATTAAGAGGTTTATAATCATTACCAACCTCTTTTTCTTCTTAGTTTTTCATATCTTTTCTTGTATATAAAAAGCTTGACAAGCCCAGTCTGACTTTGTGGGTTCAATAAGGTTTTGTTTGAATAGAGTTGCACATTCTTCTTTAATCAAAGTAAGGTTTTCTGAGTTTATCTCAGGATGAGATACTTTTGTAGGATTAACATTTTCATTCTTTTTGAAAGGAAGTTTAATAAAGAACATAACTTGTGCAATTTTTTTTTTCCAGATTCACTTCTTTGGACTTGGCTTAGAAATTTTTCACCTTTGGGCTCATAAATTGGATTTCCCTACATATATAAGACCAATAATTAATGGTAGAATTAGTTCACTAACTTTTAACTACATTTTCACGTTTATTCTTACACATAATCATCTACTTAATCATATTTTTGTTAATAAATTTAAATAAATAACTTTCGATTACATTAAAAATATCAAAAAAATTAAATTTAGTCAAATTTTGGAAGTCATCAAATATTAAATTTATATGCATTTGTGCATGTAAAGCAATAACCACTCACGTGATCTCCGAATCGTTTTTGCAAACAACAGGGAATAAATGGCTGGCTCCTCATTTTTCAAATGGTTTCCAATTTGCATGCACCACTCTGTTTCAGCTCATGGCGGTCAATCAAGAAACACATCACTTCCTCTAAAAATTCCTATAGATTATTAATTAATAACAGCAAAGCAAATTTTTTTATCAATTATATGAGACATTTTCCATATTTTACTAATGCTGCTTCGGATATAAAAAAAAAAAAGAAAAGAAAAGAAAAGAAAAGAAAAGAAAAGAAAAGCAAAAGAACACACTCGGACCACGCACTCATGAGTAATGAAAAAAATGAGAGCGAGGGGAAAAGACAAAGAGTATAAGCAGATTTGCAGATTAGGGCACTCGCGTCTAAGAATGATAATTCCTTAATCAAATAGCAGCTCTTATCTTTATACAGCTTGCTAGCTTCTTTGAACAAAGATCATAAAAAAGAGAGCCAAATAAAAAATTCAGATATAAAATAGTTATTTCGGTTGCCAGCTATCTACATCTGGTGGTTGAAACAAGATACAGATAAGATCATCATCAGAAGATCTCCTTGTATTATAATGCACATGAGTCCAGACTAGTCCCTTTCATGGAAAATAGTCCTAATCACTGGTGTTACCGAAGCTGATGCTTGAATCAAACAAGTTGGGAAAATGATAGTTAATTCACATAATGTGAGGGGTTTTAATTGCTCGATGTAAACCTGCTTCTATAAATTGAAATTGACACTTCCGCATGACATGCCACTAAGAGTTTAGGAGATTGGAACTCAACCAAACTCAGTAGTTGAGTTAAGCGTGTTCAAACATGACAAAAATTCAATGTTGTGATATATACCTTCGTTTTTATATTATCCCTTCCCACTGATCCTCACTTTTCATCGCATAATTAAAACGCACTATGTAATGTGAATTAACGAGTTAACATAAAAAAATCTCAGTAAATTGGATTGTTCTCCTCAAAAGCGTGCTTAACATAAAAGAACCTGTCGTAAGCAACGTCTCTTTCTTATCACCTGCTTTAATTCATGGGGCACCAGCCTTAGATTTTTGCTTTCATGACTTGTTACGCGGTTACGCCCCAAGTGGCTCTAGTGTAGCCTTTAATTTCACTTTCATACTTGTGTGGACTACTGGTATTGCGTGTCTATATCCACACCATGCTGAAATGCAACATTATTGACGTCTTTGTGACTTAGCAATCAGTTTATTTATTATTCGATCTAGTGTCCATGTCACTATTCTTAGTTTTGTCACATACTCAAGTTCAAACCCAATTTTTGTCAATGAACTTCCCGAAACGTGTTGACAAGAATCTAAAATTATTTGTCAAATCTTCAGGGAGATGCATTCCCCTATGCATCTATCTATAAATAAATAGAAGGTCCTACAAGGCCTCATTAAGCACTATCAACCACCATATCATTTTTCTCTGTGCATGCATTAGTATTCTTACTTCGCAGATTTACCCAACAGTTTTTTATGCAGATGAGTTCTTCAAACCAACACACATCGTCAGGGCTAATAGCTCGTGGATGGGTGAAGGTTAAGGCTATGCCTAAGGGTTTGAAGGAGAAGGTGTTCAATTTTTACAGGACAGCCAAAGAGATACAGCAAGATGACCCAAGAAGAGTCATTCATGCCCTCAAAGTAGGACTTACACTCACTCTGGTGTCTCTATTCTACTATCATCAGCCCCTATATGACAGTTTTGGTCTCTCTGCAATGTGGGCCGTTATGACCGTAGTTGTTGTCTTTGAGTACTCTGTGGGTAAGTGACTTCAGTATTGCTGAACTATATGCATATTGGAATTTGTGAACTTATATGGTTCTTGTGACACTTTTCAGGAGCTACTCTGGGAAAAGGTTTGAACAGGGGATTAGCGACACTACTTGCTGGTGCTCTTGGCGTTGGAGCTCATTACTTAGCCGACCTATCTGGACAGACAATAGAACCCATCTTGATTGGCTTCTTTGTGTTTCTTCAAGGTGAGTAAACAGAAACTAACTCACATTTTGCATATAAAAACTATGATCATTGAACCTGAAAAATACTGACGGGGCTTTGGGTGATATTTTGTCACGCAGCTGCAATAGCAACATTTATAAGATTTTTCCCCAAAATCAAAGCAAGATATGATTATGGGCTGCTCATATTCATCTTGACATTCTCGTTGATATCTGTATCTGGTTTTCGAGAGGATGAAATAATAGAGATGGCACACAAGAGACTCTCCACCATTTTCATTGGGGGATCTGCATGTGTCATGATATCCATTTTTGTTTGTCCTGTATGGGCCGGTGAAGAACTCCACAGCTTGATTGCCCTCAACTTGGAAAGCCTTGCCAACTTCTTACAAGGTTAGATCTTATTGAAAAAAAAAAACTTGTCGAGAAATTACTCCATTTGTTCAATGAAGAATAATTATGATATGCAAAGCTGCTAAAGCATCCTTTTGTTTTATACCTTGCAGCATTTGAAGACGAGTATTTTAGAACATCGAAGGAAGGAGAGTCTAAAGATGTCATGACTGCCTTGCTGGAGGGGTATAAAACTGTCCTCAATTCAAAGAGTACAGAAGAGTCATTGGTGGGTAAACTGAAAGAAATGTTTTATCTGACTTGCTTCTTTCGAATAAAAATTCTATTAAACACCTGATCTCAACACACACACACACACAACAAATTTCATTGGACAGGCTAATTTTGCAAGATGGGAACCACGTCATGGGAGGTTCCAATTTCGTCATCCATGGGACAAATACCTTAAAATTGGAACTCTCACCCGCCAATGTGCCTATCGAATGGAAGCTCTAAATGCTCAACTGAACTCTAATCTCCAAGTATGTGTGTCACACACACACACAAACACATACAGCTTGAGATTCTAGGTTTCTTAGTAAAGTCAAGTCCGACTTTGTTCAACACTAATATTGGTCACTGCAATTTCTGTAGGCATCAGCAGAGATTAGGAGTATAATCCAGGAGGTGTGTTCAGAAATGAGTTTGGAATCAGGGAAAGCTCTAAAGGAGCTAGGGATGGCAATGAGCACGATGAGAAAGCCATGCTTTGTAGATATCCATATAGCCAACTCAAAATCCGCCGCCAAAAGCCTCAATTCATTGCTCCAATCAAGCTTGTGGAAAGAAATAGATCTTTTATCGATCCTACCAGCGGGCACTGTGGCTTCCTTGCTATGTGATATTATTGCTTGCATTGAGGAAATTGCAGCTGTTGTGAATGAACTTCCCTCACTCACGAACTTTGAAACTATAGACACAACTAAATCCCCAAGCAAAATTCAGTCTACTCCACATAGTGATAGTAACTCTGATGTGGTGATTTTGGTTGAAGACTTGACTATATCTGATTTACCGAAATCTAAATCTTTGTCTGATCAACATAACACTAATAGAGTGTGATCTACACATTTATATATAGACGTTATTTCACTAAAGCGATCCATCCTTAACATTAGATCATAACTTATCATATAACATAAAGTTAAGTTGTAGTACGATTCATTTAATTACTGTATTCATGAGTATCTAACTAGTAGGTCATACATGCAACTATAAGCTCCTATGCAAATAAGGTAAATCCATCATGTGGTTTTCTTGATCTTAAATAATATTGATCTCATGTTCTGAATTTTAAAATCTTTGACAGGCCTTTCTTGCTCTAATTCCCTATAGTCCTAGTTAGTTTTTACTTTTACTTTTTGATCAAAACTACTAGTAATATGAGCAACTCTCATAGAAATTAACTTGGAGCAAAACGTATACTGCTATCACTATATAAAAAAAATAACTTTTAACGGTGAAAATCTATTTTTGGTGGTAACAATTAAAAGTCACTGCTGAAAGTTGACCTTTGGCAGCGATATTATATTGCTATTAAAAGTCACCGTTAAAAGTAAATTTTTAGTGATGACTTTAAATCTTGTTGCCAAAGGCTCTTTTTTAGTGATAACTTTTAATTGTTGCCATTGAACTTATTGTTATCATCAAAAATATTTTCATAAAAATAATTAAAAAATTAAAAATAATTTATGCAATTACTTTTAGTAGTGACAGTTCGTCACCACCAAATGTATTTTTATAAAAATAATTAAAAAATTAAACATAATTTGTATAATTACAAATTGTTGCCACTAAAAGCATTTTCATAAAAATAATTAAAAAATAAAAATAATTTATGTAATTACTTTTAGCGATGACAGCTTGTCGGCGCCAAAAATATTTTCATAAAAAATAATTTATGTAGTTACTTTTGGTGGTGACAAACTGTCACTACTAAAAGTATTTTCATAAAAAATAATTATAAAATTTAAAATAATTTATGTAATGTTACTTTTGATACTTGCCACCGCCTAAAGTATTTTTTTTTAAAAATAATTAAAAAATTAAAAATAATTTATGTAATAATACTTTTAGTGGAGACAGATCGTCACTGCCAAAAGTATTTTCATAAAAAAATATAAAAATTATTTTATATAATTACTTTAAACGACAACATTTGTTTCTACTAAAGGCATTAATATATAAAATCAAAACATAAGATCAATAATGGTTACTTTTAAAAATAATGATATTTTTAATCTAGTATTTTAATAATGATCTTATTTTAATAATTACATTAAAAATTCTTATGGACTATTTTTTAATAATGATCTTATTAAGTAGTATACATAATCAAGCTAAGTCATATATAAATTACAAATGAAATACTTTTTATAATTTTTTATGAATTATTTCAATTTTTTAAAATTATAATCATGCTAAGTTATATATAAATACTTACTTACTTACATATACATAAATAGCATTGGAAAATTAAAGCTGTATAGATGATATAAGATGCAAACGACATTGCAGACTACTTGACATATTTTTCACTTGATGCTCGCCTTGGTATATACATGGTATCTACTCCATTTGTTGAGCTCTACTTATCACTATCACAAGATTATTTAAACAAGGCGCTCCATATTTGACGATTATTTAAAATAAGAAACAAATAAAATAGGTAAAAAATACTAGATGGTTTTTAATTGTCAAAGTAAAGTTGGTTGTAATATATGTTGCACTATTACTTGACCATTAAAAATCATCAAGTATTAACAAAAATAAGCATCAAGTATAGGGGTATTATGTGGTAGTGTTTTTGTCACACCCCGATGCCAAGGGTATGACCGGCATAGAATATAAGAAGAATTCATATTCCATAAGCCTTAATAATCAAAAATTTTATTAAAGTATTAATATATGTAAGTTATATATATAAGATAAAAGTTCGTAAAATTTTAAGTATCTTGTAAAAATTTCGACAGAGTCTCCCCTGTAACTTGGCCTCCCGAAATTTCTACAACACAACAGAACCTGTTAACCAGACTGGCATCCCAACAATTCACATAATAACCAAACAAAACCAAGACCTAACTATGATATACGCGGAGCAACAACTTATAATTTACAAAATACATTACAAGGTTTCTTCAAACGGATAATCACCCTGTGCTTCCTCTGTCCAAAAAGTAAGAAGGACTCTCAGTGGTCAGCTGAAGGTGCAGGGTCAACTACTATATCTGAAAAAAAAAAATTTCTGGTGAGTAGCGTTCCATAAAAGAATTACACATAAAATCTATAAAGGTAGGATCAATAGATTTAGTCTAAAAACAATGTCATCCGATATTGAAACATATACCTGAACTAAAGATTAAGAGCAATTCTTGTTCAACAAAAGAAAAATTCTGAAATTAAACAATTCAAATAAAATGGTATAGATTTGTCAAGAATTGTACAACTTATAGGATGTAATCAACTCAAATACTGGATAGTTAGATAGGTGCTTTCAAAGGACTAATATAAAATAATAAATTTCAATTTAATTCTAGGAGGGCTTTATCAGAACGATTAACAAGCATGGAGCCCACGAAAACAAGCGTAAATAGTCCACGAGGGTAAATAACCAATCAAGTGTGGCTAGAAACCACAAAACAAACATGGCAAAAGCCACAAAACAAGTACAGGCATGAAGCCCATGAAAACAAGCGTGAGTACTACGCTCACGAATACCATCCCTCCAATCCACGTGCGTTGGCCTTTGCACGGGGCTAGCACCTCCTATCAGCACCTTACTAGCTAGGTGAACCAAGGCATGCCAAGGGTTAACGGAACTGCTGTTAGCATCCAGCGTTCTAAACTTAGTCCCCCTAATTAAACTCAAGCGTGCATAGAGATTTGAAAACAATTTCAAAGTTTTCACTTTCAAATTGTAGAATTTGGTTGTCATTTTCCATTCCTATATTCCTTGTCATTTCCTTCATGCACGAATTACTGTACTAAAATTTTGCGTATCAAATATAAAGTAAAAAAAAAAATAGCTATTTTAGAAGAGTCATACCATTTATTGTATATCCACTTCAATTATTACTTGTCAATAGCATAAATCATTAGAAAAATCAAGATACCATCATTACTAAAACAATTATATATAAAAATAAAATTGGTAAGAATATTTACATAATTAATAAAGAATTAATACAAAAATCTAAGTAAAGATATATATATATATATATATATATTAGAATTTCTTGAAATTCAATTGGAACGCTACCCACTCACCTGAGTGTTTCTCAAAGATTCAAAAACTTACTTCTCTTAACCTTTGACCTCTATTCTCATGATACCCTCAATATCCTGATAAATAAGTCAAAATTTAAGTCAATAAAAAAAATTTTTCAAATACTTAATGGGTGTCACTATTTAAGCTGATCAATACTAACAATACCATATTCAATTATATTACAAGTACACTCGAGTTAATCTAATCGTTTGATAATTTTCAATATATATGTCCTCATGCTCTCTGTTTTTTTTTACTCATACTTTCATGAATTATTATAAATCGCATCAATCGTTATTAAGCTTTCTCTAAACTAACAAAAAGGAAACTAATATCCTAATAATTCTCTTCACCCTTTGGTAAATAAGTTCTAATGAACAACTTGAACCAAAACTTGTATATACCCTTTTAAGCTACTACATGGAAGCTTAATAAGTCATAGTTTGTCAATTTCTCCCCTTCCAAAATTTTACAAATACCTTGTAAGTGTGTATTTATCATTTATGAAGTTATGAAATAAATGATCAAGAAATTTCAGCTTCAGACTTCTATTTCTATTGCTTGTTTCCTAATTCAACAGAACCAAATAGTTTTAACCAAGCAACCTCAGTCCATATCAAGAACAAAGAGTAGGGACGATATCAATTAACTAAAGGAAGGAGGGAAGGATTCGATGATGCTATAAAGTCTGAAAAGGAAGGAAAGAAAACTGCATCTCACCTCACAAGACTCAAGAATCGACCACAGAACAGCATCAAAGAAGAACAATTTATAAAGGTTCCAATCTGTCAAACACACACATGAGAAGGAAGGACTATAATTTCAGCCAACATTAAAACATTAGCTGGCACACACACACACATACTGAACCTGACGATAGGAATGAAAGAAAAGAGAAAGGAAGCTGACCACCGATAATACGCCTCCCCGTCTTCACAAAATAGACCAGAAAATGAGGAAGACATACAACCCTTCCACCATGACAGCTGAATGAAAAACTGAGAGGGAGAAGGGGTAGCGAGAGTAGCAACCCAAAGATAGCACCCTCGTTGAACAGAATGGCACGATAGCAGAGAAGGAGAATCAGTGAACTGACTCCTAGTAGCTGGCAAACGTAGATGAAAACGATGACAGTGGACGACACAACAGCAACAAAAATCGACACCCTATGATAGCGAGCTTCAGACGTTAAGGAGAGTTGGAGAAGAACCGACTATAAGTGTCTAGAAGAGTGTATATTGGCGGTGAAAAGAAGGAAATGAGATGCTCTGTTTCTTTGCACAAAAGAAACAAATCTGATTCAAGTAAAGAATTGGGAAAATTACAAAAAAGAACATGCAAAAATCACAAGAAAAGGCACAAAGAAATTACAAGAAAGAACACAAGATTTTCCTAAAATTTGAAAACTAAAATTTTTCTGAGAAAAGAAAATAAAATTTTAAACTTTAAGTCCTCAGAAACATTTCTAACATAAATTCTTCCAAACTACCCATCCCTACTTATTAAAAAAATATTTATTTATTTAAATAAATATTTACTAGGTTAATATATATATATATATATATTTTAGGGTCATTACAGTTTTCTCATTCAGCTTTTATTCTTCAAATTACTCAAATTGTTTAATTTGTTAATGTTAAGTTTGTTGGGAATATTATTGGATGAGAATTGTAAACTTGATTATTTAATTTATGTTAATTTTTGAATTATGAATGGAATTATGTATAAACATACCAAAGTTTATTTATTTTAAATTGTAAAGTTAGAGAAAGTATTCTCTATTATCTTGAGATTGACTCTATTGAAGATACTTTAATGGACGTCCGAACTAATATAGATCAAGTTAATATAAGATTCTTTCTATTTTTATCATGAAATATCAATTTACATTTTTAATTTAGT